TAATCTTTCATACTTTCTCGAACGTTTATGTATATTAGAGTATTGCTGTTTGTTAATTTTAGTCCTGTAATCTTCTATCACTGATTTGAAGTAAGGTTGCATATCTTCAAGCAAAACTTTATAAACATTTTCGTTAATATTTCCCAAGGCGGTGACAACAGATTCTCTTATTGTGCAATGTTCTGATGTGAGAAGAGGTAAAATCATACGGAATAGGTCTCTAGCGGAACCAATACGTTCAGTTAGAGCCGTTCGTTTACGAGCATGAGATGACGACTTTTGGTCTGCTAACTCGTCAATCGAAGTAATAGTGGAACAAGCGACAATTAAATAAGATCTCCATTGCTCAATGAGTCCATCCGTTGCGGACAAAATTACCTTTTGATAATGGAATCTCGGTACCGTTAAAGTTGCTGTGGGTGTACGCGAAAGACTTTCACCGGCTGTGACAATAGCCATTTGCATTTGTACAATACGAGCACAAATATTGTTTCTACATATCGCTACTGTCACAGGGCAATATTCTGTGCAAATTTTAATAAAATTTGGAAAGCATCGAGCCCATATAGCCGCATCAGTTGGATTTTCACTTTCAACGAGGCGTAGAAGAACGTCCTTCCCTGATTTTTGAAGGTTTGACAATCTTACACTTTCAACAATCGACAGAGAATTTTGCAGTTCTGTGTCGAACTTAATTAATTCTTTACCCCCACGTTCAAGCACATGAATAATGCACGTATAATCCGATTTATGATCATTTCTGTTTGAAGAATATAACAATTTGATCCCGGAATTATTATTGAGTAAAGATTCATCATTTCTTATATTACTAGCATCATCATCTGCAGCACCAGATTGTTTGCTTTCGACACTAACAGCACGCGACCGTGTCGTGTTGTTTTTTTCTTTGCGTTCATGAAACTGCAAATCGAGCTCAGCGGCAAGATGAAGAATGCTGATTGCATACTTTCTGATCATGCAAGACCGGCTACAAAGAAACAACAATCCATTTGCTTCTGTTTCTTCAATAATGGTCCATATACTTGGATCTTCGACGACGTCACTAAAATTCCCAACTATTTCATTAGGTTTTTTATGTTGTAATTGATATAACCAACGTTTAAGTAAATCATAATATAGCCTTAAAATTCCGAAGAATCCAACTTGTGCGCCACTGGTTGAATTTGGAACCACACCAATAAGAATCTCATAAAATTTATCTTCAATTTTGTGTACAAAACGAGAGAACCCTGTAATGACAGTTT